GACTTTTTGGAAGAATGTGGTATAGAAGAATTTAAGCAGAAAATAGAAGCTTACCTTACGTCCCTCAAGACCATCGCTAATACTCAGCAAGGCAAAAGGAGCGAACGAGCACAAGAGTTGCTTGATAATTATAAAAAGGCAAGCTTATTTTTGGGGGAGTTAAAAACAAATAAAAAATTTGGTGGCGTGGCAGAAGGACCTTGAGTCCTTGTGTTATTCAAGTCTTTGAGACGAGCTACGAAGCTAATGTTGGGGCGCAGAAAATCTTTGAGATTGGCTGACGTTCAAGACTTTGAGTCAACCTGGCATTGGCCCTACTGGGGCGCAGAAAATCTTTGAGATTGGCTGACGTTCAAGACTTTGAGTCGACCTAGTAGGATGCAAAGATCAGATGGGAAATTCAGAAACATGTTAAGGATATTATTAATGATTCTTTTTTTTTCTAGAATGGCCAGCCGGGGCCAGATTATAAATTGGCGCGAGATTGGGAGAAAAATCACAATAAACCAGCCAAAGTCGGTGTTCACTTAAACAATTCAACAATTACGGCCATCAACAGCAACATTGGGAGTGAAAGTTACATCAGTGGAACGGTAAATGCCAGAGCTTTGCTTAGGAAATTGCTTCAAAAAAGAAAATCGGCGAATGAAAGCCAGGCAGAACCGGATGAGAAGGTAACTAACTAATACCAGTATATTTCAATTATTTTGAAACAATTACTAATCTTTTTTTTGATTCAGCCGAAAAAAAAATCCACCCGATCCACGAATAATAGCATTGATAATCACGAAATCGAAGATCATAATGAAGATGATAATGAAGCTGAAGGTGGGCAAGAAATCAACGACTTTACCGATTTTGATCTTGCCTACCAGAGTCTAAACCCAGCAAAAATGTGGACCCTTGAATCATCTGGCCGTATTGTTGAGAAGATCATTTATGAACATGCACGAACTTTAAAGCATGAATCTCATTTACATTCCTTTATTCTTAACGATGTCGATAAGAAAGCACAATCATTATTCCGAAAAGAAGAGTGGGAAGAAATATTCTCTTTAAACCTTAAAGTTGTACCGAAAATCGATAAATCAATTACTGAGCTCATGAAAAAATATTCGGTAACTAATTTACCCTCATTTCGAAAAACCATCTTCGAACCCTTTCTACCACCCGGCATCTCATACTCCAACGAGGAACATTTTTACTTAAATTATATTAACTATGCATATCGTGCAATACACACTCTTTGGGAAGAAAACGAAAACTTTACTATGAATCCATCATCAAGATTGGAAGGGTGGTACCAACACAATATATGGAGTCCCATCATTGACCCAGCGTTCCGTAATTTTGAGATTGATCTTATACGTGGGGAAGGCTCAAGTATGGCATCTAGTGATAGAAAAAATGATGACACGGATTGTGAGGAAGATCGAAAGAAGATCGGAAGGAATGGAGATAGGTTGGAATTTGGGGCTATTGAGGCCGGAAAGAAATGGGAAGGAAAAAACGGAAAAAAATACATTACTGACAGCTTGAAACTTAGTAAGATGCTCAGGGATATGCTAGTGCAACTTGCAAAAGAATGTAATAATGATGAACAAATTGTTAGGAAATTACAGACCGTTGGGATGTTACATAGTGCCAATCGATTTCAACTCCTTACTTTGGATGCTCCAAAGGGATATATTTGTCGAATTCGACGTTTTGACTTTCACGAAGTTGCTAGTCATATAAATAATCCACCATTAGCATTTGTGCTAAAAGACATTTTAAGAGCAAAGGCAATTATTAAACAGACATTAGAATTAGTGCAAGAAAAGAAATCTGATCTTGATGATCTCGATGATTTTGATGACGATGGGAGGGAATTTAATAGATCAGAACGGTGTACAACTCCTCCAACAATTACTTTAAACAAAACCCACAAGACTCCGGAAAAAAAACAGTACTATAGATGTAATGAGAAAACAGGATAGTTAACAATTTTAGAATCAACCATATCAATTTATTCTGCTGTTTGTATGTAATAGACATTAATATTTCACTTGTATTTTTAACTTGTGTTATATGGATACATTAACTGACTGATCGGTGTAGGTGGAACTTAAATAAAGATCGCAATGATTGGATCGTTACAGAAGTTTAGCATTTTTGGGGGATTTTCATCAAAAAATTTCTATGATAGAAGTAGAGACATGCAGAGAAATTTCTATCGATAATGCAAAGAATTCTATAAATTATGAAAGTGTATGCATCATGAGTTATAGAATTTTTACATTCACATCGCTTATATCATGTTTTGCAATATAGGTGTGAATGATGATTGCATTCGTCACAAACCTTACATCCGTGCTTCCACCCTCTAAAGATGTGCCACATTTCGATATAATGTTGTCTTTTTTTATTCGCGGATATGTTATTCTGATCTTTCATCGTTATATATTAACAGAAAAAATAATCTATATGTGGCTAAAATTTTTTATTATACAAACCCGTAATGCGTGGCACTTTGTGAATTCTCCACAAAATAAAAGTCAGAACATATGTGGCATGAGTTAATTGACCGACTTTGGTTAGTTACTAATTCCAGAAAAATGAAAATGGCACTTTGAGATTGTGC